CTGGAAATACGTCCGCGTCTGAAAAGTGGCTCCAGCGCTTCCAGTTCCAAGTGCTCAGCCTTTCTGTCCGGTTTGTGCCTGGAAACCTCAACCGCTCGTGCGTCTGCATCCAGAAATATGCATTCAATAGGCAACACCGCCCAAAGCTGCGGGACCACATGATGTCCACCCAAGGGTCCCCAGCCCTACAAAACACACACACACACAGGCACATACCCACCCAATGGTGTTTGTAAGTTTCTCTGAAAACTGTGGTGGTCTTTGAGTTTCTGAGGTCAGCATATTCGAAGATCGAATTCTCAACCGGTGACTGGACAGGCGAAGAAACTCTGACCCGAAATCGGTTGGCTTGGCTGTGCTGTCGCCCCATGGCCGGACCCCCATAGCCACCCGCCCCAGAAGCCAAAGCCGACCCTTTTGCCTGCCAATGATGACCAGGAAGATGGGAGACGTAAATCACCGCTCCTGAGATCATCAACCTTAGGCCATACTGTGGATGGACGAAATCCGTTTCGCACCACTTGGAAACCATGAGAAACCATTGTTTGTTGGTATTTACAGGGGAATCATCAGAAACTAGCATTTGTTAGGTGGTGCAGGATTTCGTCCATTCACAGTTATGCGGAAATCGCCAGTAAGGCAACCCCTAAGGATCTTCATCATGGGCGAGATCGAATTTTCAGATCATTGCCCTGCAATCGGTGGGATCAGAACTCTGATTTGCCCAGTATGCGTAACTCCAATAAAGCCAGTCGAATGCCTCACTTGCGCAAACCACAATGACATAAAAAGGGTACCCTTGCGGGACCAGCAATCAACATGGGAGTGCGGCAAAGGGCAAAGGACAGCTTCTGCCAACACAATGTGCAATTGAACAGCTTTAAGAAACACTGGATAGCCATCAAATCCAAATTGGCAAAGGTTGATGCCATCCGACATCAACCAAGATAATCCATGTTGTTGCCCTGAAAAAGCCAAATGAAGCATGCTGCGAACCGACTGCAAAACTCTGGTGCAAAATGGGTGAAATATCTACAGCATTGAGTGAATGGTCGGTTGTCCTTTCACGGAGTTTCATGGCGATTGGCTGAACCTCTCGCCAGTCGATCAAATAGCTGGCCCGCGATAACGATGGGGTCATGTGACAGCCACTTGCCAACATCACAAGTTGGACCGATGAGTTGCTTGGGAGTCTTGGAAAGCCACGGTCGTCCGCAAAATCCCTGGGTTCGACTGGGTCCCATTTTCAATCACAGGAACATGGGCCAGATTTGTCCTTTCGTCTCCTTTCGCTAGCTGGAAAAGGTCGAAGCCGACGATATTTTGGCACGCTGTTGTTTGTTCTGATCCAGGGACCAGTTCATAGTGGGGATTTCAACCACTAAACCACAATAAGCAACAATTCGCAAAATGTTTCCCAACAAGAACCATGCAAAAGCCGTGGAAGTTTCAGTACATGGCATCCGGGGCGCAGGATGGAGGTGAGCATCGACGGGCTGATGCGCAGAGGTTCCGGGTAGAAGCGCTCGCAGACCAAAGCCACCAGCGGAGAGGCGTTGCGCACCACGATGACCAGCGACCTCGGACGTTGAGTTGGCTGCGGGTCAAAAATAGGGTAACCCCCAAATAGAACCCACAATAGGTACCCCAAAAAATAGGGTAACCCCCAAATGGAAAGAATAGGTACCTCAACCCTCAAAATTCCAACTTAAACATAGGCTTGACCCCCAAATTTATGGGGGGATATCCCCCCAATTCTATGGGTAGTTGGAGCGTCCAGGTACCCCAAATCGGTTGCCCTGGCAAGTGGAAACATGGACCAAAACCTGTCCGCGGTGGATTAATTTTGCCCCATACAAGTTTGGTCTTGGGTAGGGATTGGTCTGTGGGCCTTGTGGTCTCCCTTTGCCCACCAAAAAGGCGCCACTTTCAGACGCCTGGGATGCCATTCCCCAGCCAACAGGAAGACCTGCTCAACCATCTGTGGGGAACCCGTACAAACACCAAGTAAGGGATGTTCCCAGGGATCCCACCCGAAAGGGTGGCCAACCCCTTGGCTTGTTACAAGAAACCCCCACCAAACGGGTGGCGGTGACTTGCTGCAGGAGCAAGGGCAACCCAAGGATCAAAATCGAAGGTGGGGTTCCACCTAAGGGCTGAGCACCCCAGAAAAACAGCACCAAAAGGGAAACGTAAACTACCCCTGCTGTTGCCGCCACAAACGCTATACCGCGATAAGTTGGGGTTTGAGTTGCTTGTTACTGGCAACCTTCTTGGGTTCGAAGGAATCTGAGACAGCGTTTTGCGGGTTCGACGCGGAATCCTGAATCCATGTCAGGTCCATGTCATGTGGCTCTATGTGTCAAATGCCAGGAGACCCTCAAACGTCGCTGACGACATAAGGGATGCTCCCAACAATTCCAAGGTTGCTTTGACATGCATAGGATGACACCTGGGTTCTGACCCACTCAGCTTCGAGTGTGGACGCTTCCCCGAAACGCTGACGTCGCAAGACCGTTTCAGTAGCGTGTGTGTGTGAGTCCAGATAGGAAGATCCCAAAAATGGCCTGGATTGTCCTGGTTGACCCGAAACGGGTACCCTCAAAAGAAAGACACACCCAAAACTTCATCATCGGTTGGTGGATGGGTGGGTTCAACATGGAGTAAAGCTGCCAAGCGACATGGGCGCGCTCTTCAGGGCCTCAGCGAGTCACTTGAACAGGGAACCAAATGGCTGTGGGTCAAAAATGGGTAACCAAATGGAACCCTGGTAAACAGAAACATGGATCAAAACCTGCGGTCCCCTGGTGGCTTAATTTTGACCCATACCCAAATGGGTTCTCTCCTCGCAATCGGATAATCCAGATGGAAGGCGCCAACAAATGCTGGTTGCAAGGGAAAACCGAAAGAAGCCCATCCGCAACCTCCACGGGGAAGCCACTCAGGAGACTCATTCTGAGAGCATGGGCTTCAATTTGGCTACAGACAACATGACCCTAGATGGCTCTCCTAAAAAGGGATGCGTTGACCATCGTTGACAGGGACTCAGAACTCACGCCAACCGAATGCCGCCAAACCAGACGGCAAAGACTGGCTCTGGCCTGATCTCCAGTTCTCACATTGCCCAAATCAAGAACCATTAAGCACTGGACATCCCCAGCTGTTGCAACAAATCACGGACATGCACAGCCGGCATTTAGACAGACAACAAGTGACTTGGCCGAACCAAAGCTTGCAGAAAGCTCGCTTCCCGCTAAACTCACGATCCACGCATGTCCAGTCGAATGCTGGAAGTTCTTGTCCGTGCTGAGCGGCAAGGATGGATGTGAGCAGCATGCCGCAGTAAAATGGCACCACCGCACTCCACCGCAGCAAATCCCGGAGGGACCCGATGTGGATGTGCGGAAAGGCGATCAGCATGCACATGGCTGCGAAGAGCATCTGGATCCAAACCAAGCAGCACTCCTCAGCGTCTTGGACGCGCACACACATCTGGCTGGATGGATGGATGGATGGATTTATCTTTTGTCGTTGGTTTAGTGTTCCCCAAAGTTGAAGATGTCTGCCCAGACAAACAAGTGTAGTCCAGGACCACATGTAGCCGGCTGTGGAGTTTGCCGCGTCTTCCCAAACGATAAGAGTCCAAAGAGCAGCCAGAAACTTCAGCTAGTGTCCCCCACAGGTTGGATCGGAGTCAATAGGCAAAGGTTATTCAAATATATGGATGTGTATGTGTGTGTGTGTTTGTGTTATGGCACCCGTTTTGGAGGGTGTTAAAGGGGAACCAGAAAGGACACCACCAATTTGTGCAGCTGGCACACAGAGACGCAGAGACACGAAGACACAACCACGACATCACAATGAACGGCTATCCTAAAGGAAACCAACCGCATGTGTTGACTTTGGAAATCCTGGTCCTTTGACCAAAACCGGCCACAGCTCAAGCCCGGGCTTGCGAGACTCGGTGGTTAACCCTACTCATAACCCACACGGGGTCTTGCCATGGCGCGGGCTCAGAATCGTTTAATCACTTCCCTTTGGTCCTCGATCCTTCAAGCACTCTCAATTACCCCATGTCTCTCGACACGGAATCATCAGCTTCCGACTTGTGGGGCAAAAGCCAGGCCTTTGCCAAAACAAAAACAGCGCTCAAGCCAGGCCAGGCGCGCCCGCCAGGGCCATCTCTGGCAGCAAAGAAAAGGGACTCGCAACCCCACACTTCATCCCTCTTCTTAGGCGCCGCTGTGTTGGATCATGGGGGTATAAACCTATAACCCCCAAGCCCTACCAGCGCTCAAATCTCCTTTGAAAAAAAAAAAGAAATACCTTAAGGAAGCCTTTGTTCCAATTTGTTTGAACCAAGGCTCCAGAGGGAAGGCCTCCACGGCAAACTTGTTGAAGAGCAGCATCCCCACCGAGGAGAAGCAGTTGCAGGTGCATGCCAGCAGCACTTCCATCTGGCTCCGGGACACCGCCATTCCCGCCAAAAGGAAGCGGCAAGTCCCGGGTTTCTTCAATGAAACGGTGGGGCGGGACCCGCAAGGGCCGCCTTGCGCCGAAATGAGGACACACCGGACAGACCGGACAGACATGAGCATGCTTCAAGCTCCTGCAGTTTGTGCTTTGGTCAAGTTGTAGCAGAAAACAGATGCGAAGATTGCGCATTTGGGCCCCTCGCAAGATCATGGCTATTTGATCGCTCTGCTGTTGATGCTTTCGTCAAGCCATTGCAACCAAATTTGCCGCATAGGATCTAGGCATGTAGGAAACGTCATATGTTGCTTTGCGTGGGAACCAAAGTGGGATACCCCTCCACTTTCGGCAATCAGCTCTTGAGGCATGTGGCAAGTACTTGGGCTGACTCTACCCTCCTTCTACTCGGATCGCCACCTAGGTAGTATGTAACCTTCAACAAGTCCAAGTGGCTACATGCGAACTTGGTTGGGACGCAGTGCGCGACGGCTCGCATAACTGCAGCCCCCCTCCCCCCCGGCTCTGTCCGTCGTTGCATCGTTGAAAATGGCCTGGCCGGTCAAACTGGGTGGGGCGTTTCGTCTTGCAAGGAGAACAAGGTTGGGGTGGATTTGGTGGGCTTCGGATGAAGTTAGGGTTAGTTCTTAGGGTGGCTAGGTCCGCATGTCTGACATTGGATTCAGCGCAGTCCGAGCCAAAAACCCACACGCACAAAGCCGCAAAGGCCAGACACATCCAACCATTCGCGCTCCTGGAGCCATCCCCTCGCGTGTCTTCCTTCGGTAACCCTGTTGCTTCACCAAGTGCTGGGCCCTGACGGATTAGACTAGCGGACCTTGCCGTTGAACTAAACAGCTCGGTGATTTCTAAATCCCTTTTAGAACGAGTCAAAGAAATCGGTCTCAAAACTTGGATTCCAACCAGTCTGCTCACCTCGATCCGCCTGCAACCACCAACAAGCATGACTCCTTGTAAGTACTGCGAGCAGGACAAAACAAAAACAAAAACAACGATTTCCAGGGTTGGAGGGTTGCTTCCTTGCGGGTCAAACATGTAAAGTCACCAACGTGAAAAATAAGGGGCCTCCAAGGAAGAAACTTTCGCCATGGGTGGACTCAGTCACAAACGCAATCGCTCTGCTGCTATCAGAGAGCCAAGCCAATGGGAAGACACCAGAGCTTGGGCTTCCCAGCGCTTCCAAAGCAGTGAAACCAGAGCAAATCATCCGTCCAAACGTTCCAAAATCGCTAAAATCTTTAGGGAGACCCTAACGCATATTACGTCGGTTTTTGGGGTAAAGTGCATGGAAAAAAAGCGACGATCCAGGTCTTTGGGCAAAACAAAAAATAACACACAAACCGGCCCTGGCCGTTCCCGTCGGGCCTCGGGGCCCAGGGCCCTCCAGCGCATCTTCACCCAGGGCTGGGCGACGCCGCAGTCCCCGGCGCTGGCCTCGCAGAAGCCGAGAAAAGGCGCCAAAGGGTTCCCCCGCGTCTTCTTTTTCTGCTTTTAGCTAGCTTCTCGTTGTTTTGGTGTGTTTGTTGATGTGTCTTTTTGCAATGGTTTTTCTTGAGGGGGGGGGAAGTCCCTTAAACTGCGTAGGGTGTCCCTGAAGCCTGGGTAGGGGGTACCCTGAAAAAAAAAACGCAGTATGGGATGGAGAAGACTTGCAGACTGCATTAGATGGGATGGATAAAGCCCGATTTGAATGAACACTGAAAACAAAACATACCAGCTGCTGGAATCTGTCTATCCACAAACGGATCCAAACTGGGTTGCCAGAAGCAGGAAGTTTGAGTGACTCAATATGGAAGCGCAGAAGAAGCTACTGGCACGCTCCCTCTCCTTGAGGCGAGCCCTGAAACCCCTGCCCCATAACGATACAGCTCTCTCCACAAGACAGTTTCTAGGTCCTCCAGTCGAGAGGTTAGAAGAAGGGTACCAACTTTTTGCTGTAGTCTATTTTAGTAGGGGAACCTTCCCTCAAAAAAGAAACGGTCAAAGGGCACTGGGGGACCTAGGTGTTGTGTAGCGCCGAATAGTGTGCAAATGCCCAAACTGACTTTGGCGGCCATGGTCATCGATGCCTGGCGTCTGAATTCACCACTAAGGTCCATAAACATACCCTCGCCGAGCAAAAGGGTGCGTGGTCCATGATTTCTTCTTGGAGACAAACCTCAGATTGTATATCCCAAGCAAGTACTCCAAACCAGAAACGTCCGGGAAATTAAAAGCTATATGTGGTTCCACATACTCAGCTAGCCGCTAGCTGCCGTAGCCACTTCAAACTACGGCTGCACGCGAGAGAGGCTCATCTTACGTTGGCAGTATCCTTCCCATTCGACCTGTGGCAATTGCAGTAGTCAAGTCAACCCGCAATGTTGGATCCAAACCGATCAAAATCCACGCTACAAAAAAAACAAGACGATCGATGACACAGGTTCCCTACTTTACGAGACCGATTATTTTGAAATCCGCCGACAACAGACGGCGTGTTGGACACAAAAAATGCTCCTTACCTCTTTACCTGTTACCCCTCCCCTAACCCCTCCCCAGGGGCACCATTTCAGACTATTGCGGGGGGGGGGGGGGGGTCCACGTACCTGCGCAACTCAGTTTGTCAAAAACATTGGGGTGTTCGATTCCCCCCGGGTGCGCTTTCGCATCCTTAGCAGCTCCAGCGGCACATCGCCAGCACCACCTGCATCATCCGCATCAGCGCCTGCCAAGGATGCAGATGATGCAAGTGTTGCTGGGGATGTTGCCCATGCTAGTGAAGGAAATGAAGGGGGGAAAGGGGGAAAGGATCTCAACAGCGAAAGGGGGGGAAGATCTCAGGGAGGAAAGGGAGAAGATCTGGGGAAAAAATGCCTTAAGGGGGAAAGGGAGGAAAAGATCTTTGGGAGGAAAAGGGAAATCTTTCTCGGGGGGAACAGGCCCTAAGGGGCAATGGGGGGACAGGATCTCAAACGGGAAAAAGGGAAAAAGACTTTGGGAAGAGAAGGGTGGAGATCTTGGAGTTAGGGCAGGCCTTGCCCATCTTTTTTTGGTACGCGAGCGTGACCCCCACCCTACGCAAGGACAGCATTTTTTAACCATTTTTTTATTATTCAAATCGTCATCCTTATTCATTATGCATATTTCCACTCAAAACATTTCATAACAGTCTCAACCTCAAAATCCATCTAAAAAGTTACATTTTTCTCATTTTCTATTCCATCATTCTTGTCATTGTTAGGATGCTTGAGTGGAAATAGAAGTATAGGGTGGTTCATATGATATGGTTATTGATGGTAGGATGCATGGACAAGGTTAAGTTCATTCATTAAAAAAAATAAAAAAATAATATTGCTCAAAAAAATAATATCTTCAAAAAAAAAAAATAATTCAAAAACTAAAGTTTCAAAAAAAAATCAAAAAGTAATTTTTCAAAAAGTAAATTCGCAAAAAACAATATTTCAAAAATATTATTCCAAAAATTATGATAAATTATCTTACAATATTTTTATCATAAATTTTGTAGAAATATTATGGGCAAGGTTATGTTCATTCATTAAAAAAGAAACACAAAAACACATTTTATAGAGTATAACTATGGTATAATGAAAGGTTATAAAGTTTTACAATGTTAATTTATATTATAATAACATAATATAAATAAACTGTCGCCCCAAAAAAGGGGGAACCCCACCTAATTTCAAGAAAACATGCTGTTTTGTCGTTGGATTATTATCTATGAATAAACCCCCGTATCTTCATCATAGTCAATTTGATAAAATGTCATAGTTGAAGCCTTCGGTTCTTTAATTTCTTTGTTATTAAGTTTGTTTAAATAAATATTTCTTTTATTTTTATATTCACCATTGGTTCTATCTACTTCTTTACTTTGATAACTGTTTGTTAAAGGTTTCTTCTTTTCCATTTCTTGTAAGATTTCTAAAATATTCTTATTCTGTTCTAAAACCTTGTTCAGTTTTTTAACAATCTTTTCTAATCCTTCATCCATGTAAATATATATATATTATATTATAAAATAAAACTTTTAAAACTAAACTTTTATTTTACAAAATCATATATCATTATAAGTCAATTCAAAATTAGTTATTGTGTAACTCGTTAAATTATTATTCAATTTACCAATTAAATTACAAATAATAGTTTTTCTAAATTTTGAATATTTATGAAACTTTTCAATATTATCTGTAATATAAATTATTAAACATTTAATACATTCAAACACATTAACAACATTAATGTTACTATTTTTGTAAATATTATTCATTTTTCTCAATGTAATTTCATAAAACTGAATAGCATTTTTATTATCATAATTAGCAATAAATCTTAAAGTATATGAATATATTCTTTTACAATAAAATTTTAAATCTGATTGTTCAAATAAATCAGCATAATTAATAGAATTATAAAACATGTTAAAATCAATTTTACTATTTCTAAAGTCATTAACAAAATTAATTAATATATCATTTTCGTTATATTCTTCAATAAAATTATTTAATTTCAATTCTTTTACATCAATGAATTTAATAGTATTATTTATAACATCTTGCATTATAAATAATAATAGAAATAATTTTAACTATTATTTCTCATTATTTGTTTAACAGTTTCCTGTGTTTCGTTTTCTCCATTATCGGATGGAGTAGCGTTCCGACCCCATTTAAATGTAATATTATGAACATCTGTTTCTAAGTTGATACTGTCTTTAGTTTTATCAATATTCATTTTCTTATCATTCTTACTTAGTTTGAAACTTGTCGGAATACACGAGCATCTACAATTTCCTTTCTTTTGTATTTCTAATTCATTTTTCATTTCTAACATCTTTTTACACATCGGGCAAGCAAATTCAATAATTGATGCTTCTTTAACAATTTCTTCTTTTTCTTCATCAGTTGAAGAAACAACTGGTTCAGCCTTATTCTTTTTCTTTCTTCCCATTTATATTAATATTTACATTTTTATTTTTGATATATTGTATCACAAACTTAATTATTTCTAAAACAAAATAGCATATTTTCTTGCATCTATTATCAGTTATAACAACTTGTTCTAAATTCTCTACTTCATCTATTATATCAATATAATCTGAATAACTCCTTTTCATATTAAATAATAAGATAAAAATTAATTTGAAAATATAGCATGCTTGACTTGTCTTTTAGTCATTTCATACTGTTTATTATATTCACTAATTAAATATTTATTGTATAACTCTTTAACAATAAAATTATTTTCTAATATAGATATTATTTTTGCTTTCATATTTTCAATATTATCTTTGTTAAGTAATTCGTAAATATTCATAGTTGGATTAATATAAAAAAGAGTTACATGAATTGAGATAAGGTGGGTCTATAAATATCATTGTATTTTTATTATTTTTATATTCATTATAAACATCAACAGCATCATTATTTGTAAATTTAATACTAGCTTTTGTAAAAAAATCATATACTGGACTACTTTTAATATCATAAAATGAAAAATCAGATCGTGATCCCCCAGAATCTAATGGATATATACCAGATCTTATTCTATAGTACCTATTATTTATAAACCATTCAATTATATTTTTATTAAATCTTAAACTTCTATAATAATCTTTACCATGTTTTTTTAATTCTTCTAATTCAAATTTTAATTTATCATTAAATGAATTTAATTTAGTTTCATCATTCATAATTTCAAACATTTCTAATAAATATTTATTATTATCATTAAGAATAAATTTAATATTTGGATGTTTCAACCATATATAATAGGACACCGCACATGAACCACAAAAAGGCTCAATAATAGTATCTATTATATTGAAATCAACTAATTTATAAACATATTCTGCCTCGTTTCTTTTATTACCAGCAAAAGCAATATAAAAATGATTTTTCATTATTTATATATATTAATAATAAGATAAAACAGTTATTTAATCTTATTATATTCATGCATGTTAGAATATTCGGAGGGCACAGCAATTGGGTTTTCTTTACAAATGCATCAAACCAATTAGCTTTCAATGCTTATTGATTGAAGTTGATGAAAGAGCCTGTTCTACTACAATAGACCCCTAATCATATCATAGCAATGCTTTCATACAATAAACAATATTAAATTATTTTCTAAATATGTTTAATATTAACTATATGTCAGATGTTCCAATAATAAAGCCAATAAACATAACTGAATATGAATTCAAACAATCTAAATATGAGCACGTGCCAAAATTACCATTTAGAAGTATTATAGTTGCAAGTTCGACGGGGGGCAAGACTGTCCTTATTCAAAATTTAATATTGAATGTTTATAGAAATTCATTTGCAAGAATATATATATTTTCACCCAGTGTTCATAACGATCCAACCTTTACAGAAGTTAAAAAGTATATTAGGGATGAACTACATGTAGATGATGAAAAAGAACAAATTTAT